CACACACACACACACACACACACACACTAAATAAATGTTAAAAAAAAATTAATTAAGAGGGCTTCTGAAGAGCAGCGAGAGGGCTGCAGGAGGCTGGCATGCTCAGGGCAGCCGAGCTCTCTCCTCCCTCTCCTGGGAGCCCCTCCCAGCCGAGGGTCTGTTTACAAGCGACTTTGCTGTTCTGTAGCCAGACTCTGGTGTTGACCTTGATGCAGAAAGAGCCTGCGATCTTCCTACGATCTTCCTACGGGGCCTCCCGCAGCCCTTCCTGACAAAGTCACTTTCTGAATGGCCGGTAGCTAGAAGGATACGTTTGTTACCAGTGGGCGTCTGTGTCCTTTTCAACAACAGCACTGCTGGGCGTGATGGTAATACAGGCGGACGCAGGAGGGTCGCTGTCAGTTTGGGGCCAGCCTGGGCTACGTAAGGAGATCCTGTTTCAAAAAACTAAACCAAGGGGCCAGGGAGATGGCTCAGTAGAATAAGAGCTTGCCTGGCAAGCGCAAGGGCCTGAGTTCAATCCCTGGTTCCGCCAAAACAAAAACAAACCCTAAACCAAAACAAAACAAACAAATACATAAAGAACCCATACTGCAATGCACAGGATACCCCCTTGCGAGCTCCTCAAAGAGAGTGAGCCCCAAAGAGCAGTGTTTGAGGAAGAGGGACTTAGACATCAAACAGGTAAACTACTACTACTACTACTACTACTACTACTACTACTACTACTACTACTACTATTACTACTGCTACTGGTGCTGGGGCTCGAACTCAGGACCTTGTGCTTGCCAGGCAGGCGCTTATGCCACTGAGCTATCTCCCCAACTCCTCTTCATTATTTAATTATTTATTTATTTTTTTGAAACAGAATTTCACTCTGTAGACCAGGCTGGACTTGAACTCTGTGTAGCCTAGGATGGCCTCTAAGTGACAGTGATCCTCCTGCCTCAGCCTCCTGGGCCTTGGGATTACAGGTGTGTGCCACTACACCCAGATTTACCCCTGTAATAGTTTCATATGAACCTCCATTGTGGAGGAGATACTTTGTTTCATGCAAAATGTTGATTTGAAGAACAGACCCCAATAGCAGGGTTGAAGTCGCCCTCCAGGACATGGGCTTGCTGACTTCTACTAGTGATTTTGTCAGTGGGACCCTTGAGGAGGCGTGGCCTTCTCCTGTGGCCCAAAGATGGTCTGCGGCAGCGGGCCTCCGGTGCGGGCTGGGGGTCCAGAGCCACAGTGTGGTTCCACTTGCTTTTTTTGCTCCCTTCACAGAGGGAAATGATCTTGTCTTATAAAAGCGAAAGAGAAAACTTCCTTTCCATTTCAGTGGCTGTGAATAGAAACCTGATTTGCCTAAGGGTACAGACAGGAGCCTTTTATAAGGTACAGATTGCAAGCGCACAAGAGCATTCGCTTCGTAGAATTGGTGCCTAATTTTATTTGAAAAGTGCAAGGTCAAAAGACACATCTGGGCAAACTAGCTCTGCAGCGCAAACTTAGGCAGAACAAAGGGAAAAAAGAGGGTGTGGGTTCTCAGGTGGACTCACACCCAACAGCCTGAGCATTCACTTTTTGTCCGAAAAGGACTTGTACCTTTTTTCTTTTTGATGCTCTAGCTTTCATTTTTTTGCAGAACTGAGGATTGAACTCAGGCCCTTGCGCTTGCCAGGAAAGCACTTATTCTACTGAGCCATCTCCCCGGCCCCTGATGCTCTAGCTTATAAATTTAAATTGAGAGCATTGGCTGAGTGTGGTGGTGCTCACCTGTAATCCCAGCCCTCAAGAGGCTGAGACAGGAGAGTCTGAGTGACTTCAAGGTCAGGCTGGGCTGCATAGAGAGTTCAAGGCCAGCCTGAGCTACATAGCCAGAGACCTTGTCTCAAAAAAACACAAAACAAGGGCCGGGGAGATGGCTCAGTAGAATAAGCATTTGCCTGGCAAGCGCAAGGGCCTGAGTTCAATCCTCAGTACCACAAAACCAAACCAAAACAAAACAAAAAACCACAAAATAGGGCCCCCCAAATAGCTCAGCAGATTAAAGCTCATGCTTAGGCAGACACAATGGCCAGGGTTTGATACCCAGCATGCTGTGCCAGCCCTGCCCATGGGGCATGCTGCGACGGGATTGAGACTGGGCGTGGTGGTGCACGGTTTGTAATCCAGCTCTTGGGAGGCTGAACACAGGTGGGTCACTATGAGTCTGATCTACGGAGTGAGACTGTAGACTCTGTAGACCCTGTACTAAATTAAAAAAACATAATAATAATAATAATAATAGTAATAATTTTAAAAACCTAAACTGAGAGCAGTGATACCTGCCTGTAAATGCCAGCTACTAGGGAGGCCGAAGCAGGACTGCAAGTTCAAGGCCAGCCTGGACACTTTAGTGAGAACTTGTCTTTAAAAAAAAAAAAGGGGGCTAAGGATATAGCTCAGTGGCAGAGTGCTTTCGCAAGGCCTTGGTTTTGATCTCCAACATTGTAGAAAAAAAAAAAAAATAAGCAAAAGGAAGCAGGAAGCTGCTGAGGGCCTCCACCCAGGCCCCAGGCTGCGTGTGAGTCCAGCACAGCTCAGAGGCCCCATCTCCTCGCGTGCCTTTGCAGGTTGTCTCTGGGGTAACCAGGGGCTGGAAATTCAAGCTCTAGAGAATGCGGCTCCTTGGACTGAAGTGGGGCCCGAGGGTGAGGGTATGATTTTGAATAAGCAGTGCACCTGTTTGGGGACAAATGTGACCCTCCAGAAAGATTATGGCTGTGGTGTTTCCCTGGCTCTTCCAAGTGGGCCTCATTAGAAGAGAGGTCTTTACAGATGCAGCCAAGTGGGTGATGTGTTGAACCTCAATAATCCCTGCTGGGGGGCTGGTGAGATGGCTCAGTGGTCTAAAGCACCTACTTAGAACAAGCT